TTTGGAAAAGGTACTCTTGCTCATCATAACTATGTACTTAGTTACTCCATTAAATATCCAGAAGCAGAGAAGAAGACTTTCAAAGAATTAATGCATTTTCACTGTATAATCAATAGAGCCCCGCCCTAACACCAGAACCCCAGACCCTGGAGCCATGAAATTCACAATTTTGGAAAAGGCACTTTTGCTCATCATAACTATATACTTAGTTACTTTATTTAATACCCAGGAGCAAAGAAGAAGATTTTCAAAGAATTAATGCTTTTTCACTATATAATCTATAGAGCCCCGCCCTAACACCAGTACCCATGACCCTGGGGCCATGAAATTCACAATTTTGGAAAAGGCACTTTTGCTCATCATAACTATGTACTTAGTTACTTTATTTAATACCCATGAGCAAAGAAGAAGATTTTCAAAGAATTAATGCTTTTTCACTATATAATCTATAGAGCCCCGCCCTAACACCAGAACCCCTGACCCTGGGGCCATGAATTTCACAATTTTGGAAGAGGCACTCTTGCTCATCATAACTATGTACTTAGTTCCTTTATTTAATACCCAGGAGCAGAGAAAAAGATTTTCAAAGAATTAATGCATTTTCACTATATAATCAATAGAGCCCCACCCTAACACCAGAACCCCTGCCCCTGGGGCCATGAATTTCACAATTTTGGAAGAGGCACTCTTGCTCATCAAAACTATGTACTTAGTAACTTTATTTAATACCCAGGAGCAGAGACGAAGATTTTCAAAGAAATAATGCACTTTCACTATATGATCTATATAGCCCCACCCTGGAGCCAGAACCCCTGACCCTGGGGCCATGAATTTCACAATTTTGGTAGAGGGCTCAATGCTTATTACAATGATGCCAACAGTTTGACAGCTTGATGTTCAGGAGTAAAGAAGAAGATTTTTAAAGATTGCATTATTTTTGGTGGTTTTAGCCCCACCCCTCAGGCCCCGGGGGGCAGGGACCATGAAATTCACAATTTTTGTTCCCCTTCACCCATAGATGCTATATACCAAATTTGGTTGAAATTGGTTGAGCGGTTCTAGAGAAGAAGTTAAGAATGTTCAAAAGTTAACGCACGACGGACGACGACGGACGAAATCAGATAGCAATAGGTCACCTGAGTGACTCAGGTGACCTAATAAAAGACTGAAAGAATTTTGAACTTTGTGTAGTCTACCTGTATGCCAAATTTTAATGAAACTGGAAACTGTAGTAGCTTGTTTATAACCTAACACAGAAATCTTCATTCTTAATATATATGTAACTGTGGGATAATCATTTGACAAAACTGAAAAGATACATAGTACACGTAGTATTCATTTTATGAACCAGGTACTAGTACTGTATACAGGGAAATTTTCAACTCCACCTTTTGCCGTCATCGCAAGAGAGCAAATTTAAACCTGGGGTATTTAAGAGACGGCATTACCTCAATAACAAAACTGTGTTTTGAACGAATCTAAAATTGAGCAAAATTGCTTGCAAGTGTGAAAGGACAAAAATAACATGGGCGAAAATAACATTGTATACAGTATCACTGAAGTGTCAGACCAACATTGTAGGAATAGGTACATATTGTAAATTTGTTTTAACAAAGAACTGACATATGGAGATTGGATATCTTACCAAATTGCAAAAGCTCTTCTGTTCTTTGGCAAAACAAGAGGCCCATGGACCACAAAGCTCAGCTGAGTAACTTTTGCATTGCTGTTTTTTACCTGATTCCCCTCCCCCTTGTAGTACTTATTGTGGCCCCACCCTACCCCTGGGGTCATGATTTGAACAATTTAGAATCTACACTACCCCAGGATGCTTCCACATAAGTTTCAGCCTTTCTGGCCCAGTGGTTCTTGAGAAGAAGATTTTTAAAGATTTTTTCTGCATATTTCAATGTAAAACTTGGATTCCCCACTGTGGCCCTGCCCTACCAAAAGGGTTCATTATTTGAACAATTTAGAATCTACAATACCCCAGAAAGCTTCCATAAAAGTTTCAGCTTTTCTGGCCCAGTGGTTCTTGACTAGAAGATTTTAAAGATTTTTACTAATTATTTCAATGTAAAACTTGGATTCCCTATTGTGGCCCCGCCCTACACCCGGGGGTCATGATTTGAAAAATTTAGAATTTTCACTACCCCTGGATGCTTCCACATAAGTTTCAGCTTTTCTGGCTCAGTGGTTCTTGAGAAAAAGATTTTTACTACATATTTCAATGAACTTGGATTCCCTTTTTGTGGCCCCGCCCTACCCCCAGGGGTCATGATTTGAACAATTTAGAATCTACACTACCCCAGGATGCTTCCACATAAGTTTCAGCCTTTCTGGCCCAGTGGTTCTTGAGAAGAAGATTTTCAAAGATTTTTTCTGCATATTTTAATGTAAAACTTGGATTCCCTATTGAGGCCCCACCCTACCCCCAGGGGTCATGATTTGAACAATTTAGAATCTACACTACCCCAGGATGCTTCCAGATAAGATTCAGCCTTTCTGGCCCAGTGGTTCTTGACAAGAAGATTTTTACTACATATTTCAATGTAAAACTTGGATTCCCTATTGTGGCCCCGCCCTATCCCCAGGGGTCATGATTTGAACAATATTAGAATCTATACTACCCTAGGATGCTTCCACATAAGTTTCAGCTTTTCTGGTCCAGTGGTTCTTGAGAAGATTTTTTAATGACCCCACCTAATTTTTGTCGTCTCTTGATTATCTCCCCTTTGAAGGGGACTTGGCCCTTTAGTTTAACAAATTAAACTCCCCTTTTAAGGATGCTTTGCACCAAGTTTGGTTAAAATTGGCCCAGTGGTTCTTGAAAAGAAGTTGAAAATGTGAAAAGTTTACACACCAACAGACAGACGGACAGCAGACAACGGGTGATCAGAAAAGTTCACTTGAGCTTTCAGCTCAGGTGAGCTAAAATGGTATTTTTTAGGCCTTGATTGTAAAAATTTTAAACCAGAAAGTTAGTTGTTACAGTATTTTTTCACAAAAATCTTTGCAAAATAAATACAAGAGGCCAAAGGGCTTAACAGTCACCTGAGTGCAATACAACCCTGCAAAGGGTCCATAGAATTACAATTCAATTACAAGTTATTACAAAACAAAATGAACTAATAGATAAAGATACCTTGCTTGAAAACAAGAGTAATAGGATGATCAAGGATCAACAAAATAATTTCAGTAATCAGCAACAACTCAGAAAGTAGATTTAATTACTTGCCTGTATGAGCCAGTACTATCTTTATAACTAGTACCAAAACTTCACAACTCAATTGCTTATGCAAAAAAACATAGTATTCACATAGCATGGCCTCTCTTGGTTTTCAAATATTTGTTGTACGAATATAACATATTTTTGGTATCACTTTTACTTATCTATTTTTCATTTATATCAAATTTATATTTACAGATTGATTATCATAAGTAAATAACTTCTCTTAAACCAGAAAAAAAAATTCCCACTCAACATAACCATACACTTAGCTTGTCTTCTAAATGCCCAGAAGCAGGGAAGAAAATTTTCAGAGAATAAATGTATTTTCATAATATTGTCAATAGAATCCCACCCTATTCTTGAACCCTGACCCAGGAGCCATGAATTTCGTAATTTTTTAAGAGGCACCCTTGCTCATCATATCTATGCACTTAGATTGTCTCTTACGACCCATGAGCAGAAGAGATTTTCCAATAACTAAGATCAATAGAGCCCTGCCTGATTCCAGAACCCCTAACCTAGGAACAACAAACTCATAATTTTGGATGAGGAAACCATGCTCATCATATCTATGCACTTAGTATTTCTGCTAAATATACAGAGGAATTTCACTATAAGATCAATAGAGCCCTGCCTGATTCCAGAACCCCTAACCTAGGAACAACATACTCATAATTTTGGATGAGGAAACCATGCTCATCATATCTATGCGCTTAGTATTTCTGCTAAATATACAGAGGAAGATAAGATTTTAAATTTACATTTTCCCTATATGATCTATAATCCTCCATCCTTATACCAGAAACCCTGACCTATTAGATCCGTGCAATACGCACTTTATTTCTTCTGCAGAGTGTCTATGGTGCAGATCTAAGTCAATTTTAACTAGATTGCCTTGACCCTTAGATCATGAATTCAAAAATATTGTTTGTATGTTGTTTATCATCCCTCTCGAGAATTTTTCACTCATATGGAGATGCCACCACTTGCCGGTGGCCTGGAGAGCTGCAAATTTTGTCCTATACTCGGCACTTACGGCCATTGAGCAGTGAGGGATCTTTTTCGTGCCAGCACCTACTGCGACACCGGACCTCGGTTTATACGGTCTCATCTGAAGGACCAGTCTCCACGTCCCACAGTGGGATTCGAACCCGTGACATGAGGATCAACTCCTTACGCTGCGACTCAAGAGCAGATGCTCTAACCACTGCGCCATGCGGGCGACTCCACAATATTGTAAGAGGACTTAATCCATAATAATGCCAACAGTTTGACTGCTTGATGTCCGGGAGTAAAGAAGATTTTTGAAGATTGCATTAATTTTGATGGTTCTGGCACACCTCAGGCACTCGAAGGGGGGATGGGGGAAGAAAACATGAAATTCACCCATTCTGTTCCCCTTTGATAGATGCTATAAATTAAAATTGGATGCAACTATTCAGCAGTTCAAGATTAGAAGCTGAAAAATGTTCAAATTCTAACACACAAAGGATGTCACGACAACAGACAAAACAGATTAGCAATAGCTCATCTGAAAGACTCGGAAGACTAAATAATGTCAATACAATGTAAATTTATATACACTAAACAATAACTAATACGCTAGACATGTATCTCAAGTCTAGAAAAACCATGCACATTTCTAAATTTTCAATTTCTCAAAAAAAGTCCAGGAAATGGAACACAAGTAGAAAAAATTATTTCTTGGCTAGGGAACAAAAATTCATTCTGCTTCTATGAACATTTATATTGTCCATATTTATCAGTCTTATAAAGAGTATCTTCTTACATGTTTCTTAATTTCCTGAATTATCCCCTTGTACTCATCTCTCTTATCTAAGTATCTAGGAATGCCATACATATTTTCACAACTGTATTCAAAAAAGACTCTTCTTGCTCTCCCTAAAGCAGAAACACCTTCCCAGTCTAACTTGTCATAACACTGATACTTTTGCCTGTCGTAACATTTAAAAAATTCATGCATCCGATGAAAAAAGAAATTGTCATCCTCTCGAAACCCTACCCTGACATTTGCATCTGCCCCTGCCTGGAGCAGGATCCTTACTTTTCCTTCCCTGTCAACATTACATGGACCATACTCATTCAAAAGTATGTGCAGCAGTGGTTTTCCCTCAAAATGTCTGTCCTCATTATTATATTGTATCCACTGATTAACATCCAGACCAGCCTGCAACAAATTTCTGAGTCCATCACTGTCCAACATTCTGATTAATGAATAGAAATCACCATCTTCCATCTGCCAGTCATACCTCTCTGAGACCACAACATCATCTTTACTGTCCATTTTTAAAGCACCATGCCTTATGAACACCAAAGTATTAAATAGGTTTAAATTTAAACTAGTTCTATTTTTCAGTCTCAACAGTGAATTCACTATATCTGGTCTGTTTATTTTGTATCCTAAATGCAATGCTGTTGCATGAAAGTCAACATGTTCAACACAATTAAGTAGCCATTTCATTAAACACTTAATCCATGAATGACAATTGTTTTTCAATGCAACTAGCAGTGGTGTTTGCCTCCATTCATCTTGTTGAGTGACATCAGCTCCAATGCTCAGCAACAAGTTCCACATGCTCAGATTTCCATCCTGACATGCTAATATCAATGCTGTATTTCCATTCCCATCCTGTAAATTGACATCAGCACCAGCTTTCACCAGCTCCTCTACCAAACTCTCATACCCACCTTTGGAAGCTGCAATCATTGGTGTGTATCTTTCTTTAACTAGTTTGGTTTTAAATTCTCATTTATGTTGTCCCTTTTTACCAGTTGTTTTCTCCTCTACATGATATTGATAAACACTGGAAACTAATGATGGATGCCCATCTCCATTTCTTAAATTGACATCAGCCTTTAGCTTCACCAGCCTCTGTACGAGACTCAAATGTCCACCCTGACATGCAGCTACAAGTGGTCTTTTTCCTCTTCCATCAGGTTGATTGACATCTACCCCTACATTTACTAGTTTTTCCATCACACTCAAATGTCCACCTTCACATGCAGTTACCAGTGGTGTATTACCATGTAAATCTTGCTGACTGGCATCAGCTCCTGCATTTACAAGTTCTTCTACAATACTTGCAAATCCACTTTGACAACCAATTACCAGTGGTGTATGAGCATTACTCAGACATATACTGTTCAGTGAATCTCTATTCATGTGAGGAAGAATTGCCTTCACAGTCTCCACATCACCACTGTAACAAGCCAATACAAGTAATCTGGTCTGCTCTATATACCTGCAATTTAATAATAACTTTGTGGCATTTGAACTTTCTGTTATCTCATTAATAATCTTGTCATGAAATACTTCACTTTCACTTTGAGGATGTTCAGAATTTTGAGTGTCCATAAATACTTCTCTTTTTATATCGTCATCATTTTTCTTTATTTCTTTTAAAATATACTCCAGGATCTGATAATGTCCGTACATAATAACCCAACTGATAACTCTGATATTGTGCATACAAGTTCTAGAATGCCACTTCTCATCTATCAACACACACTGTCTCTCTCTTTCAGTCTCCTCATTTGTCTGCGTCCGAGTTTCCTTGATCAAGTCCCGCACTTGACTTAATAAGTAAGGTAGGCCCCCCTCTTGCTTTTGTAGGAATAAAGACTTCAATTCGGTGTAGGATTTTCTTTCCAACACAGCAATGAATGCCTGAATCACTTGAGGATGTTTCAAAGAATCATTCATGAAGACATCATATAGCTCCAGTTCCTGTATATCTCTGTAAAGCCTCTCTGATAACAAAGGATACTGATCTTCATTTAACCTCAAACACAAATCAAAGGACTTCTCACCTGTGGTACTGGTAGTTGCTTCAACATTCTTTGGTATTACATAGTTTGCAATGTAACAACTATCCATATAAAGTAAAATTTTGTCCAGAAACTGTTGACCATAATGAAAAGCACAGATTTCGTACAAGTAATCATGAATAAATGAGTACTGTGCACCACACTGTTTTGTATAAGTACCTTCCATTGCTGACAATGCATCCATAAACTTGAATGTATCTGTGTGACTTTCTACCCTACAACTTTCCAACACTTCAGATTTCATATCAATAAATTGGACATTGTTTTTATCTTTCAAAATTTCTTTTGAAAGCACATCTCCATTCATCATGCATAAAATAAGTGTTGCATAATTTAGTTTGTTTAAAAACTTCATTTCATCCAATTCCTCTATGATACACTGAACAGGCCTCATGAAAAATTTTGCACCCTGAGATCTGAATTTCAAATCTTTTGAAAACAGTTTACAAAGGAGAGGAAACATTGGAGATACAGATGTTAGTTCTGAAGGGGTCAGCAAGTCTTCATCTAAACCATACCCTTGGAGAATCTGTTTCTTGTCATGCTCATTTAAGGCATGTTCAGAATAACATAATTTAATCACATTGCTTTCTTTAGCTAAAAAAAAATTGTGACATGATATCTCATTGAATACAATGTCTCTGCAAGTCATAAGTATTTTGGAATCTTTACATGTGGGATTGATTATTTTCTCTTTATATCGTAGAATGAGATTGAATTCTGACTGTTGAAGGCCATAAACGCCCATGGCATCTTCGATAACAAAAACCTGTGGATTGTGGGGGTCACAATAATCCTCTATCTTTCTAATGTCTTTGATTGGTAAAACCTCACAATTTTCACTTTTGAGCTTGAGAGCAATGTGACGAGCAGTGGCAGATTTCCCTGACCCTGGGACTCCAACAAATATTACATACGGTTGGTCTTTCACTTTTTCCATCATTGAAGGGAAGCTGTGAGTTTCCTGATAAAAAGTGTCTTCCTCTTCCCATTTCTTTAGGTCAATGTTGTGCAAATCTGTGAAAATAAATTAAAGTGTAATTACATTGTTCTTTGGTTAATATGCTTTGTTTTACATTAACCAATATTGATCTCCAGCCATTTTGACTATGTTTTTATTGAAATATTTATACATATATATATATAGAGAGAGAGAGAGAGAGTATTTAACCATCCTGAGACTGTAGCTTCACTGGCTTGAATTCATAGTCTTAAAAGATTTACTTGGACATCGTCACGCATCACTTCTTTTCAAGTTTTGCATTGAATTACAGAATTGTGTTTCCTGATATTTTCTTAATTTTTAAAAAATTTTATTTAACATGAGGCCCATGGGACACATCGCTCACCTAAGCACTTTGGCTACAAAAACCAGAAGTCTCTGATGAGACTGTAGCTCTACTGGTCTGTACATATAACAAAGGAAAAGTAACACTTGGATTCAAAACTTTGCAACATGCAACAATAAATAGAATTATGTGTCTTGATGTAATCTACTTCTGTGCTAAGTTATATTGAAATCAAACGAAAACTGTTGGAGGAGTAGCGTTTTGAAAGTATTTCACAGAAATTTCTATTTTTAGTAACCATGATCAACACCATTCACTGAAATCAAAAACCGTAACACATATTACATATCATAGTGTATTCTAATTGTGTGCCAAATTAGATTGAAATTAGACCAAAACTGTAAAAGGAGTAACGTTTAAAGGAATTTCACAGAAATCTGTATTTTTAGTAAACATGGCAACACTGTTCATCAAAATTACAAACCAATGCATTAAATTTTGTATCTTGGTGTATTCTACTTATGTGCCAAGTTATATTGAAATCAACCAAAACTGTAAAAGGAGTAGCGTTCCAAAGGAATTTCACAGGAATTTCTATTTTTAGTAACCATGGCAACACCGTTCATCGAAATCAAATACCAATGCATTAAATTCTGTATCTTGGTGTATTCTACTTATGTGCCAAGTTATATTAAAATCAGAATAAAACTGTAGCAGGAGTAGCGTTTTAAAGGAATTTTACAGAAATTTCTATTTTTAGTAACAATGGCAACATCATTCATTGAAATCAAAAACTGATGCACTAAATTATACATCTAAGTGAAGTCCACTTGTGTGCCAAGTTATACTGAAATCAGACCAAAACTGTAGGAGGAGTAGCGTTTTAAAGGAATTTTATAGAAATTTCTATTTTTAGTAACCATGGCAACACTGTTCAATGAAATCAAAAAAACAATGCACTAAATTATGTATCTTAGTATAGTCTTCTTGTATGCCAAATTATATTATAAGCAGACTAAAACTGTAGCAGGAGTAGCGTTTTAAAGGAATTTCACAGAAATTTCTATTTTTAGTAACAATGGCAACATCGTTCATCGAAATCAAAATACAATGCACTAAATTATATATCTTAGTGTAGTCTACTTGTGTGCCAAGTTATACTGAAATCAGAGAAAAACTGTAGGAGTAGCGTTTTAAAGGAATTTCACAGAAATTTCTATTTCTAGTAACCATGGCAACACCGTTCATCGAAATCAAAAACCAATGCAATAAATTTTGTATCTTGGTGTAGTCTACTAGTGTGCCAAGTTATATTGAAATCAGACCAAAACTGTAGGAGGAGTAGCGTTTTGAAAAATTGTTTACAGACAGACGGACAGACAGACAGCTAGACAGACGACAGACACCTTACTATCACATAAGCTCTTCTGGACTCTGATCAGTAAAGCTAAAAATCAGTTTGGTATTGAAAAGTTTAATTGGTCCAACTTGCCCCTAAATGGGGGGGGGGGGGCATATGATATGAACAAACTTGAATCTTCATTTACTGAGGATGCTTTTATATTTCTTTAATCAATCATGGTCTTCAAAGATTTTTAAAGATTTTTTCCCTGTAAGTTTGATTTATGTTATGACCCCACACTACCCCTGAGGTCATGATTTGAACAGACTTGAAACTACACTACCTGAGGATGCTTCCATACAAATATGACCAATCATGGCTTTGCTCTTCTTGAGAAGAAGTTTTTTAAAGATTCCACCTATGTTTTCCCATGTAAAACTTTGATCATCCATTGTGGCCCCACCCTACCCCCCAGGGGGTCATGATTTGAACAAACTTGAATCTACACTACCTGAGGATGTTTCAATATATTAAAATATGACTAATCATGGCTCTGCTGTTCTTAAGAAAGAAAAGTTTCAAAGATGTTTTCTATGTATTCCTATGTAAGATTTGATCATCCACTGTGGCCCCGCCCAACCCCCGGGGGTCATGATTTAAATAAACTTGAAAGAACACTACCTGAGGATGCTTCCATATAAATATGACTACAGTTGAACTTCAGTATCTCAAACACTGATATCTTGAATACCATGGATATGTCGAAGTGATTTGGAAGTCCTAACCCCTTATTCTTTAATTATTTTACCCTGGATATCTCTAATCCTTGTATATCTCTAAGATTTTGTTCCCACTGAGTTTGAGATAAAGAGTTTGACTGTAGTTATTGGCTTGCTGACATTCTTGAGAAAAAGATTTTTAAACATGTTTCCTATGTATTCCTATGTAAAACTTTGATCGTCCATTGTGGCCCCGCCCTACCCTGGGGGTCATGATTTTAACAAACTTGAATTTACACTGCCTGTGCACGTGGATGCTTCCATACAAATATGACTGATCATGACTTTGCTGTTCTTGAAGAGAAGATTTTTAAAGATGTTCCTATACATGCATTCCTTAGTAAAACTTTGATCGTCCATTATGGCCCCGCCTTACCCCTGGGGGTCATGATTTGAACAAACTTTTTTTTTAATTTCCACTTTTCAACATTCATATAGCAGTATAATTATACATATAAACATTGTGGATTTTTATTAAACATTCACCCTCTGATTCTTTCTTTGCACTCATTCAGTTAGAGTATCACCTACATATATAAAAAATTCCATATATATATATGCATGTATACAAATTACAATGTTTACTATCGTTATAAGAAGAATAACGAATTAAAAACTGCAATGTTTCTTTATAATTGATATAAATATAGCTGACTATTTTTCATGATTTGAACAAACTTAAAGACCTAATTTTTTTACCATACGGTTACCTGAGGAGGGGGAGTGGTCTTGATAGTACTGGTGTTATTTATCTGAAGAGCCCCAATACTCAGGATGTCAAAAATTCATATACACATTGCACAGGAAGTCTGTCTTTGATAATTAGGATCAACATTACGCTTTTCTTGCCCTATTTCTGAGTGAAACTACTGTAAATAATTCATCTTAACGTTTCAATGTCTTTTAATTATAGGATAAAATAATTAATAAAAGAATTATCATTAACTAAAACCATGAGTGAAAACTACAAAGCTATCATATTGATGTTTTTTTAAATCTTTGGTAAAAGAAATAATTATCAAATAAGTGTAAGTATTGAAATAAAAAGGCTCCATTTATCTTGTGGATATAACATCATCGGAATATTATTTATTTCCCTGGCCAAAAATAAAGTCAAAAATATTCACCTCTGCAATTTCTGTGAGTCCGTATTTTTAGGGGTGAAACGATACACCTCCTTCACGGTTCGATACGTATTGTATAATTTTGTCTCGGTTCGGTTATTTTCGATACGATACATTTTGATAGAAGGAAACAAATTCTACGTTGTTTTATGCTTTCTTTTTCTAAATCTAGTCACATATTTTACGAATTTTATTTGCAAATTGACTAGAAGAAATTGATTAAAATTATTTGACTGTCAAAAATTATTTTACAAGCTATCAGTCATTAAAAATTTACGTTTTCTATACTTATTTATTCTGAGTAACGTGTTATACCTTATGCCAAACCCGACTGAATAACGATCCCGACCGAAAAATGAACCGAACCGAAAATTAGAGATTTTGCACCGTGTATCAAACCGAGAAAAAATACCGCGGTGCATCGATACCGCGGTGAACCGTTTCACTCCTACGTATTTTTATGCCTTGTTCACAGATTTGTATTGTTTGTAGACCTTTTTTCAATAAAGATAGATCACTGTTTGTTATCTTCACCCTTTTCATTACGAATATAGACATTTAAGGAAATGCAGACAATGATTTTGAAGCACAGGTTGAATAAGGGGCTCAGAAGAGTTATCAGTCTGTGCTGCACAGGAACTTCTTCCCTTTCCAGATCCCAGTCCCAGTCATTGAGGGAGAAAAGGGCTCAAACAGCTGCTAGTTATCTTGGAGTGGAGATTAAAAAAATAATTTATGAAGTCAATTAAGACTTAATTAGCTACTCTCAATTATTTTTTGAAATATAATTACCAACCAATATTACAGCAATTTGATATTTTTAAACAGGCTGCAGAGTGTATACAAAGCGACTATTCACGCAGTACATGAAAGCATTTGACTTGTGACCAGTAGGGCTGGATCAATATATCGGTAATTGGTATATATCGATATTTTTTAGTGATACGATAACCGATACAGAGATGCTTGCGTACTGCTCGATTATTTTGACGTTTAATTAAGAGAAAAAAAATTCTTTTCGGTGAGCCAGAGCGACTAACATTTCAAATGACCTATCTAAAATCCTCTAAGTCTAAGCAAATAAACATGTCATGGACATGTTTACTTGCATGTTAAATCATGGAATCATGGAAACCGATAATAAAATATCAATCAGAATTTTTAAATCTCTAATATAGATATCATAGTTTATTTAAACGCAAAGCAATTTGGTAAAATATTTTAGCTGCCATTACTTCCACAAGTAACACGAATACGATGTCAAGTATCAACACAGTCAGCGTAAACACATTAGCCCCACCGGCAGTGAAAAGTGTCAGTTTTACTTCTGTTACCCCTTGGACCATCGCTAGAACAGCAAAGTTGACATCTGCCAAATCTAATGAGATTACCAATGTGGTTGTAGAATACATAATCCAGGACCTGCGGCCTTATAGTACCATTGAGAGCCCAGCTTTCTGGTAATGTACTCTATTCCATCGATATGATAATTCCTTTTGATAAACAATGATAAATTCACTGAATTATTTCATATACTATCTTGTGAGGAATACTTTTTTTATAGGAACATGCTCTAACAACTTGATCCAAGATATCACCCACCTAACAGGCATACTGTCAGTGAGCAATAAATACCTGCACTTTTATCTCAAGAACAAGCTAAACTTCAAACTGATTTAAGTGCAGCAAAAGCTGTGGCTCTGACCTCTGATGCATGGACGTCACGCGCAACAGAATCTTACTTAACAATTACTTATCATTATTTGAAAAAAATAGGGATGTCAACGAATAGTCGACTATTCGACTATCAGTCGAATGGACCGATGATCGAATAATGAAACAACATTCAAATAAATAAATTCAATAAAAGAGTGATAAAGAGATGGAATTCTCATCCTAAAATTGAGAAACCGTCTTTCCTCAAATACAGCTACAGCATGTTATTCACTAAGATGTGTATTGAAAATCTTTTAATAAAATTATACTTTATAATTTCAGCATCCACTGAAAAAGTCAGCTTTGTCATCGTTGTTTGAGGATGACATAGAAGTAACACATGTAGATCCTCCTTTGCAGGATAATGAGATTGCCAGAAGGGAAGTAGAAAAATACAGAGCTATTCCACAAACAAGCATGTTGGAAAACCCTCTTCTTTTCTGGAGGGAAAGGAGTTTTGACTTTCCAAATTTGATTGTTCTAGTTGAAGAATATCTCTGTGTTCAAGCATCCTCTGTAGCTTCGGAAAGAGTATTTAGCACCAGTAGGGACATCGTTTCCAGCACAAGAGCCTGTCTGAAACCAGACCAAGTGGATGCCTTGGTTTTTCTCAGAAAAAAAATATGGACAAACAATGACATTAATCTGTCTTGCACTGTCAATTCAAAGGGAATAAAATAACAAGGATTTAAAATGTAGTTTTATTTTATTATTAATTTATGCTGTAATCAAAAAATACTAAGTAACCCCTTTAAAAAATCACAACAAACAAAAAAATAGAGTGTTTTCTAATTTGTCTGTATCGACAATACGTATCGCATATCGCATCTCTGTATCGCAATATGTATCGTATCGAAAAAAAGATTTCAATACCCAGCCCTAGTGACCAGGTGATCGTTTTCAAAACATGCAAACTCAGACTATCAGGTAGCACTGGTAGCTATACTGTCAGTCAAATCAGTAGCTATTGTTTTTTTCTATGAGTGTCAGGCAGTATATTTTTGATCTTGAATAACGAAGATTTTGGTGGCGTTAACGTAAAATTATACTATCTGAGGATGCTTCCACATAAGTTTCATCTTTCCTGGCCCAGTGGTTTTCATCAGATTTTCAAAAGATGCCAATAATTTTTCCCTAATTTGTTAATTATGTCCCCTTGGAAGTAAGCATCACCCTTAGTTTGAACACACTTGAATCCCCTTCACCAAAGGATACTCTGTGTCAAGTTTGGTTGAAATTGGCACAATGTTTCTGTAGAAGGAAGACAAGATTGTGAAAAGTTAATGACAACAATGATGACAATGACAGATAACAGACAAATTTCGATCAGAAAAGCTCACTTGAGCCTTCAGCTCAGGTGAGCTTAAAAAAAAACAGAAAGTATAGGAGTATTAACATTTTGAAAGGTCCAAACATTACACAATTGTGCATATATCAAAGAATTTATTATTATTTTGTACAATCTTACCTTTAATGTTTGGAGGAACTGGAGATAGTGTAAATTTCATAATTTTCTCTGAAAAAAAAATATTTTAAATTTATAAAAAAAAAAAAAAATTACTAGTCTAGTTTTCTTAACTAGGTTAAAACTTAAAACTTTAAAGCCTATAGTAATAATGTCAAAAATGTAAATGTCTCCAGATCATGAGATGACAGATGGACACATCAGATACTGTCTATTTTTTTTTTTTTTAGCTCTGATTGCCCATTGTGGCCCACCTTACCCCCAGGGGATCATGATTTGAACACACTTGAACCTACACTACCTAAGGATGCTTCTGTATTAATATGACTAATGGCTTTCCTATTCTTGAGAAGAAGATTTTAAACGATTTTTCCTATGTATTTCTTGTAAAACTTTGATTGCCCATTATGACCCCACCCTAACCCCAGGGGTCATGTTTGAACAAATTTAAAACTACAATACCTGAGGATGTTCCATATAAATATGAGCAAAGCTTTGCTGTTCTTATGAAGATTTTTAAACATTTTTGTATCCCTATGTAAAAACTTTGACCACCCATTTCACTAATTTTTAATTATCTCCCCTTTAAAGAGAACATGGCCCTTCATTTGAACAAATTAAAATCCCCTTCACCCAAGGATACAGTCCCTGAAACGTTCTACTTTCCCACTAGAACGGTGAGCGAACGCTGAACGAACCCAGAGCGAACAGTGAGCGAACGCAGAGCGAACGGTGAGTGAACGATGAGTGAACGCTGAACGCAACTTGGTGAACGATAGGTGAACGCTGAACGGTGAGTGAACGCAGAACGCAAACGGAGCATGAACGCGAGAGCAAAGTGAACAGTGAACGCAAGATGAACGATTTATTCGGAATGCCTCTGATCTTTTCCATGCTTTGTATCTATTCTATTGTATTCTAATGTCAGACGGAAAAAAAAATATTCAAAAATTGTCCTAAGAAAGATGAAACATGCACATTTAGAAAAACTATTACTTAAGTTTCTTACAATATTTTCTGCACATATATATGATGTTTAAATTCAGCTGTTTATAATCAAACGATTTTTATCGCTGTAAAACATTGTCATTGTTACCGAACGCTGTAGTTTAAAAGATAAAACTATTCTAGTTGTAAATAAATATGTTTATTCTTATTTGATATATTAAACCATTACAAATAATGATTTTCGAAGAGTACATTACAGACTTATAGAATGAATTACAACGGTTGTAACAACCACACATGTACATGTATTTCCGTGTCAAGGCAATTCCGTGTAAAATAATGAGAAAAAAATTTTAAAAATATTTTGCTAGTCTGTGGACGTATTGCATATATACACTCATATTTAAAAAAAATTAATGCAATAATATATTTATGCATCTTTTCATTTTTTTAATGATGATTTATTCAGCAGACTTCTACATGTATATGTAGACAATTCCCCGTGATTATACTCGGACAAGGTGATACAAAGAAGCATTCATATTATTTGTTACAGATCAAAATTTCAGAACTTGGTATTTAAGTTATACGTGTCATAGTTTTGATTAAACAGACAAATGAGAGAGAGAGAGAGAGAGAAAGAGAGAGAGAGAAAGAGAGAGAGAGATTCCGTTTAGGCCCCCCTTTCCACAAATGCATGTACATGTACCTGTATAAACAAAAATTCTTAATTTTTATCTATATATATCAGGCAGTGAAAGTAACCTTTTTTATTTCTCAACAAATTCACTTTGTTTGAAAGTCATACTCGGTTTTTATTTTCCCGCTTCAAGTTCACACGAAGTCCACCTGCTTGTCCTGTCAATCAAAATCATTCAACACTGTGCAGGTGTGAAAGTCTCATCACACCAAAGGCGAAGTGCTACACTGTAGTATTTCCGGGAAGTTTTAACATGTTTTATTATTTCTAGATCTGATTCCATTTTTTCCAATAAATAAATAAATAAAATACATTGGACATAAACACTTCGAATGAATTTGAAACATACTCCCTGGCCAATTTAAAATACCACCCTCGGCGCATGTATATTTTGAACTACTATTCTTTAATGACTTTTTAGATGCATGTTTGTTTTGAGACTGAAATTTTTGTGCTACAAAACGCGTTAACTTCTTTTTAAATATAAATTCAAAATATACTGGAAATACTGACTAAGTCACCGATCTACGTGGAAATAAGGGGGGGGGGGGGGGTTAATCATATTGAATGGCAAACATAAAGTTATTGTGAAGAAAGGAATTTTTTCTCTCTAACAATAGAATTTATAAATGAATTGTAGTATATTACATTTAAATAAATATTTTTTAACCACACTATCAATTTAATTTGCTCCAAAGATATTTAATCAAATGGAAATCCACAGTACTATTTATAATTCTCAGAACTAGTTCTAATAATGTATTTCTATAATAATTGGAAAAAAACGTGTTAGTAATAAATACTTTCGTAATTTTGCTGCAGTTGGTAAATTAATTGACATGGATTATTACCTCTCCATTAACGACTTGTTGTCTTTCACATAACAACAAAATGTTGCAGTGCTTGAAGTACCCATATATTGCCTGTATTTATATTTAATTTTTCAGCATTGTTCTACACAGGTACATACTTATAACAACATTTATTTTCCAGAGTAATTTAATTAATAACCTATGTAACAGCTAAGTTAGAATAATAATAAAACAAATAATTTATTCCCATAAAATAATGATCCTTTAAACACGATAAGTTAATTATTAAATTTCAAATCCCGTAAATCCTTACTTACGCAAAGTGAACGAACGGAGAGCGAACGGTGAACACTTTGTGAATGATGAACGCGAGCGCACGGTGAACAGATGCAAAACTGTGAACGGAGAGAGAACGGTGAACGCACAGTGAATGAACGGTGAATGCACGCTGAACGAACGGAAAAATGGGAAAGTAAAACGTTTCAGGGACTGTACTTTGTGGCAGGTTTGGTTGAATTTGGCCCCATGATTCATGAGAAGAAGTCAAAAATGTGAAGTTTACAGACAGACGGACAGATAGATGGAAGTCGGACAAAATGTGACCAAAAAAGCTCACTTGTGCCTTTGGCTCAGGTAAGCTAAAAACTAAATGCACACTTTTCAAAGTATATTCATTTCAATCATCGTTAGCCCAGAGACTTTAGATCAACCATGTTCAGTAATCATTCAATTTGCAAAAAATAAAAATGAAATTTGTAATTTGATCAACTTCTTTTGCAGAGTAATTGTAATTTAATTAATTGCATGAATTAAAAACTCTGTAATTTAATTGAAGAAAAGACAAAGTAACTGTAATTTGCTTAATTACTTGTTAATGTAATTGACCCCATCCCCAATACATGTACACTAGTCGTAAGCCTCAAATGTTTCTCCTTGGGATGGGACAGCAGTTAATATTTATTATTAGTATTAAATCGGACGGAATTGGTTGCTTCATTTGATGCAATTTTACCAATTTTAATCAGATGTTGCAATTTTTTTTTTTTTTTTTTACATCTTTCCTGCATTTATACATTAATTTTCATGTTTTCAAAGTTGTCTTGCTGCTTTTGTATACAAGATATATTATACATTTATCGACTGGGTTCGAGGGCAACATGCGTTTTGTCGGACCCAAGAACCAAACTGTTTGCCTGAGGCCATTAGGCCGAAGGCAAACAGTTTGGTTCAAGTTCAAGGGGTTGACAAAACGCATTTTGCCCGAGAACACAGTCAATAAAGGTTTTGTTATACCTTTTTTTATTTATTTTATCATTATTATTTTTTGACATACATGTATGTCCAACACTAACAAATGCAAATGAGATTTAGCTGACCCCGCCCATTATGTGACGTAAGCGGTTCAACATCTCACTGACAGGTCCAATATCTCACTCTGCGGTCAAACATCGATTTTTTATGCCCGCTCAGTAAAACATTAGAAATGTTAGACATTTCTTAGTATTGATTTATATAGGAACAAATTTTTAAAGGTATAGCAAATATATATATTTTATTCTTCTGGAACATATAATGTGAAAAAAGAAACAAGTTAATTCCTGTATTCATTTTGTGTGAAACTGCTGACAGATTATGAAACATAGGTAATCAGAGCTCACCTCAATGAATGTTGTCTTTAAGTAAGGCAAAGTCCCACATCAAACTAATAATCTAGTAGTGTGCATCCCTAGATGAATTTATGCAGTTTTGGTCAGATAGGGCTTGCAGTTACTTGGGAATGGACTTATCTAAAAACTTTAAAGTAGTCACTCATCCAGAAAATGTAGGTCGAATCCAGCATCCGAATCAAGTTTGAAAGTGTTGGTCCCTTGATGCATTATTCATGCAAGTTTGGTTTAGATAGGCCTTATAGTTTCTTGTCAATGGACCTGCTCCAAAAACTTTAATATGGTCATTAATCCAGAAAATGTAGGTCAGATTTAGCATCCAAAGCAAGTCCAGTAGTGTACATCCTTAGATATATCATCCATGGAAGTTCGGTCAATATAGGGCTTACAGTTACTCGTAACTGAGATCTGCTCCAAAAACTTTAACCTGGTCACTCCTCCGGAAAATGTAGGACAGATCCAGCTTCTGAAGCAAGCCTAGTAGTGTGCATCCTTTGATGTATCATCCATGCAGGTTCTGTCAATATAGGGCTTTTAGTTACTCAGAAATAAGATCCCCTCCAAGAATTTTATCCTGGTCACTCTGACATCCGGAAAATCTAGGTCAGATCCTGCATCTGAAGCAAGTCCAGTAGTGTGCATCCTTAGATGTATCATCCATGCAAGTTTGGTCAACATAGGATTTATAGTTACTTGGAAATGAGATCTGCTCCAAAACTTTAACCTGCTCCAAAAACTCTAACCTGCTCTAAAAACATAAACTTGGTCATTCTTTAGCTGAAATTGCAACATCTGAAACCATGACTGGTACAATGAAACACACTAGAGGCATCCTCCATGCTCCTCTGATTGATATAGGGCATAGAAGGGCTTGTAAAGAAATCTGCTCCAAAAACTTTAAACTGGGAAACCGATACCAACGCCGACGGTATTACATAAGCTCCCAAAACTTCGTTGAGGTGAGCTAAAAAATAATGGTGTATCAGATTTGGTAGCTTTTCTGTCCTTAAATGATGTTTTCTGATTATCAGTACATCGCTAGCTTCTTCATTACAGTTATGTTGGGAATCGTTAATCAGAAAAGACTACCTAAGTCCCTGGCTCATGTGAGCAAAAAAATCTTTCAAAAGACAGGCATATACAAATACAAATATTGATTAGTACGATCTTTTGAAACTTTAGCAATAGGTAATTTAAAGCCAATTATATTTACCATCCAACCTCTTCACCTGTTTTCAATTCCTACACCTTTTTCTGCATTTTCTTCCATTTTTCCTACAAAATATAATGAGAAAAACTCTTCAAATGATCAAATCATTATGTGAAATTTAAATCTGAGTACAATCTCAAATACATTTATTTCATAAACCAACCATAAAAATTATTTACGTTTGAGATTGGTAACCATTTCTCTAGTCTTCAAATCCTCTTGCACTTGTTTTTTCAGTTCCTCTTGGTAGTGCTTGTCACGCACAGGGTCCATGGTTTCACGTCGAAGGAAATCAACCTCCCTCTCATACTTACATCCATTACTGAGGAAGGTGTCTAAACTCACAACTGCTGATCTGATGGTGGACCAGATATTACTGAACTCTGTGTTGGAGAGAGAGGAAGTTGGTGAGTGTACACATTGATTTCTGGCCAATCGAATTCTTTCTATACAGGCAGAAGGTGAGTAGTCAATTGGATCTGGATCATTACCCCAACCATTTGAATGTGATGGTATACCACATATGTTTCTTAATAATATGTACAGCAGAGAGATATCCATATCGTCATAATTTCCAGTATAGCTTCCATTCCTGGGTAAAATCAAATCTCTCTGTGGACCTGTTAGAGGAAGTCCACGACCAGGTTTTTTTTGGTTGACATGGAAGACATGAATGACATGTGAAAGTGCTTGTGGTGGAACAAAATGGCATAATACATCATGAAGTTCATCAGTGCATGGACCCAGGATAAGACGACAAATTCTATTTGCATTGGTTGTCTCCTCTGTAGATGAGTAGGGAGAAGCCATAATTAGTTGTAAAATTTGGAAAACCTGAAATGAAATAGTATAATTTCTCAAAAAATTACAAATTAAAACAAGAGGCCCAAGGGCCTTTATGGTCACCTGAATTTAATAAAACACTGCAAAGGATCCATAGAAGTAAAAAACAAAATTAATAGATGAAGCTGTTGCCCAAAATATCAAGTCTTAAAAATACCCTTACTTATTGCGACATGTGAGACCCGAGTGACCTCATTGGGATCGTACTTGGTTTTCCTAAGTCTTACAGGGAAGATAATGAATGCAAAATATACAAATACAATGGACATTTGCCTAGTGTGTAAGGTATCCAATAAGTTATGTCACGATACATGCACTGAAATATCAGTACAAAAAAATACATGAAAGACTTCTCAAAGGATTGACACTGAAAGTAGTTTTATGAAAAACGGTGACTTGTAAATTAAGCGATGACGTTTTTAAAAACGCGCTTTGCAGTAACGAGTTCCAGATATGGAAACGTTTTAGCTTCTTCAAACCCCAGAAGAGTTGTCAAAAGTAAAGCAGCCTGCTTAGAAAAGACTGACCAGAGAATGAATACTGTTGCAGGGAATTAATTTAATTCACAGAATTTCAGATGAAAAAACAAGTTGATGTGATTGACCTCAAAAAATTCAAAATGGTGCAGCAATGTGTACCTTGTGAATTATTAGGTATTGGGTTATATTTTTTGTTTTAAAAAGAAAAATATGTAACATCAAGTGCCTGTGGCTGAAGGGGATTCTAGTTTGTTCAAACAAAGGCCACACTCTCTTCCAAGAGGAGATGATTAAGAAATGGTGTAAATTAGGTGGGGTATTAAAAATTCTTCTTCTCAAGATAGTTTTACATAGGATATACATTAAAACAAGCTGATAACAAAGTGCAGGGACAAACAATTTTGCTTTGTTATAAGCATAATTTGTTATATCCGTTAATTTTACATAAATTATATTAAGGCAAGTGAATGAAAATCACTTCACTGTAAGCGTCAATTCATTATAAGCATGTTGGTTATTAGCATGTTTTACTATACAGAAAAAAATCTTAAAAAATCTTCTTCACAAGAACAAGATCATGGTTTGCCATAGTTTTATGGAAGCATCCTCAGGTATTGTAGATTCAAGAATCCTGATCCCCAGGGAAGGGTGGGGCCGCAATGGGCTTTCACAATTTAACATGGGAATATATATATGGAAAAATATCTGCTGGTGAAAAACTAGTTAGAACTAGAACTGTCCAAAAGGGACAAATACCCCCAGCTTGGTTTTTTTCAGAGAAGGTGCCAAATCACTAATATTTTATGGGTCTAAGAGGTGTTCACAATTTGCTTTAACATTTACAGTGAAAATATAATTGCTCATTATATTTTTTAATAAATGAAACTAAAGTACAGCCTAATAAAACATGAATACTAATAATTACATTGTTTTTTATAACATTGAAAAAATAAATTGCAATTATCTTACATCTTTGTGAGACATGACACTCTGCAAATTGATTGTTGAAAAAAAAAATATCATACTTAATAATACAAAATCAAATTAATCTTGATAACTTAATATCATATTCATTATAAACATAAAAGGCTGGTCATCCAGTATTCAGTGATTCATTTTGGTGTGCGTCTTGCGTAAATTACGCACAAATTTTGCCCAGGACGCATTATTTAAATAAATGTGCATCCTAATGGACGCAATAAATCTACTACTTTAAATTATTTCGGTATAATCTGATTCAAAACTTGACCAATTGCATCATTTCCACGTGCTAAGCGATATGCATGAACCATTTTAACAGGTATAAGGTTGCCAACAACAGGTCAGATTTCACAACTGCAGTTAAAAGCAATTATCAGAAAATATTTGAGAGTAAGATAGCATAGTTCGATTATCACTGATTATGTCTATACCGTGGAACGTTTCTGAAGTGAATACTATACCTTTGTATTTAAGCTGTAACCTGTATCATTGTTTTTTTTTTTTTCTTTCGTTTTTTCCTTACAAGCTCAGAAGTATAAAATTTAATCATTTTTATTTCTGACTACTCTTCATCTCTTCTTTAACTTTTTTTTTTACTTCATTCTGCTTCTGTGCATTTTATGACTGATAGTGCAATGTGTGAGATCGTATGTACGATCTAAAAATAGAACCAAAGTGCACAGTGGACAATATATTATTTTTATGACACAAAATCATGTACTCTTACTTGGACAATTGATAGTAAAAGTATAAATCACTCACAGCTACAATAAAACGTTTGCACTTTCGTGCAATACCCTTTTTTATTTCACCAGAATTTCCTCTGTAACATCTAATATATGGTACTCTTGGATTTGGACGCATTGATTTTGGCACGGGACTCATTGTTGTCATTAAGAGGGGTCCTTTGGACCCATCATAACCATTTTCAAAATGAATCACTGAGTATTAAACTATCTATTTTGACAAACATAAATTACAGTTAAGAGAGTTAGAGAACAGAGATCTTCATTTCTTCTGCCCAATTCCCAGGAGATTTTGATAACACCTGCTTGATCAGAATGCTCTAACAGCTTCCCACACTGAACTCATTAATTAATCTTTAACTGGATGCATGTCCACTCATTACTCCCAAGGGACAAATGGATTTATGCTAATTGCTTTGTACAGTATTTGCACTGTGTACAATAGAAAAGGCATATCTATGTCATTCTTTTGAAAACAAAGAAATTTTTCTTTTAATTTGTTATTAATAAAGCTTTATATAATGAAAAAAAGAACTGTGTAATCTTGATGCAACAATTTTTAATAAAGTTAATGCATGACTCTTGGATTTGTGGGGACAGTCTATCAAAAAACTTTTTTAATACTTGGTGATTTTATTTTTAGCTTTAATGAGTAGTTTTAAGCTGCAGTTCACATTTTTGTACAGATGTACCAACTGGCAATTCTAGATTGTATGTCTTAAACCTATACAAGTCCAAAATGACTAAGCCAATAAAAATGAAAAAAAAAACACCTGTACAATGCAGAAAAATAACCCAATAATGATGAAAATAGCAAGTGCACACCTTCATATAGTGAATAATGAGTGTACAAATTTCCAGACAAATCTAAGCAATAGTCTCTGAGAGCAGGTCCGGACAAAATCACGTTAAAAAAATGAAAAAACATCTGTAAAATGCAGAAAAATTATCCAATCACAATGAAAGTAGCAGGTGCACACCTTCATATAGTGCATATTAAGTATACAAATTTTCAGACAAATCCATGCAATACTCTCCAAGAACAGGTCTGGACAAAATCTCATCTACAGACAGACAAGGTGATTCCAATAAATCCCCCCTAAACTTCGTTTGCGGGGGGGGGGGGGGGGGGGGGGGGGGGGGGTGTATAATAATCTAATTGTGTCTTGGGACAAGCCCTTACCATAGTTAGAATATGTCCCATATACTGTATGTGTACTTAAATAAAGAGCCCCACCACAGCATGATACGCCCGTCAAATATTGTTCAATTACAGGTAACTCTCGATACCTCGAAGTCCGCGGGACCGAGGAAAAACTTTGAGAGATCAAGAGTTCAAGTTTTCAAGAGTCCGGAATTTTCCGGGTTTGTTGACAGGTTTTAAAAATAGTCTTACCGGATGTAATGATTTTCATGCAATGCTAAACTTTTGCATGTGGTTTTTATAAAACAACGATATATTTTCGTAGTTTAGATGAATATTTCATTAAACTGAGTAAAGCAAAAAATGTATATCGTCATTTCATATTTAATTATTTATTCTTTGTTATACGGATATCATACTACGCATTCGTTACGTGAAAACAACATTTTACAGCTACATAGCATTGACTATTCCAAACATGATCATTGAACACAGTTTTGTAAGTATTTGACCAATAATAGTCGTCATATAGACATTGAGGCTGTTTCTGCTTTTTCATATTTCGTTTAACTTTGACACTGACTCGAAATAAAAATTTAATTAGTATTTCGTCTTTTAACCAACCAGGGACCTATATAATAACGGTCCCTGAACCAACTACTACTTTTCACTGACACTGCGTCTCTAAATTATCGTAAGACAGTCGATGATAATTATTTTAATAGCATATAGGCAAAATATAATTAATTATAATTTAATTATCACCTTGCAGCATAAGTGTCACCTGAATAAACATCCCGTTCCTCAAGACCCGCGTCTTCTGCCTGGGGGCATTTAAATGTCCAGGTAAAGGTGCTAATTATATAACCTTGTATACACGTAGCCACTTCGAGGTATCGAGGGTGAATTCTTATAGAATACGAATAGCGGGACCGCATTATGACTTCGAGGGATCAAGGGTTTCGAGAGATCAAGAGTTCGAGAAATCAAGAGTAAATTTGCTTAGTTATATAGGGGAAAAATTCGGGACCGGAGACTCACTTCGAGCGATCAAGAACTTCGAGAGATCGAAGTTCGAGCCATCAAGAGTTACTTGTATCATAAATTAAACAGTTTGGGGTGCAAGAAAATCATGTCAACCTTAATTCAAAGATTTCCATGATTTTTCCATTCCTTATAATATTTGATGTTAATACAATTTCCTGTAGTGCAGGTACTAATTATAATAAATTTCTCAACTGGTTGTGTTAGACCTTGACGAATACCCATCTGCACCGCCTCCCTCCCCCCCCCCCCCCCCCCACATCTTTCAAATTAATTTGATATTTTCAAAACATAGGTAATTAAAGATTACGAAGCTCACCTCGACGAATGTTATCTATAAGTAAGGCAAATTTCACATCATATTTTTATTCTAGTTAGGGTACATCCCAAGATCAATATCCATGCAAGTTTGGTTTAAGTAGGACTTATAGTTACTTGGAATAGACCTGCTCAAAAAACTTTTAACCTGTTTACTAATCAAGAAAATTTTGGTCAGTTCCAACATAAAAAGCAAGTCTGGAAGTTTCATCCTTAAATGCACCATCTATGCAAGTTTAATCATAACAGGCCATA